TGCTCCCCCATGATTGGTATGTGCCATTAATGTCTGGCGGGAAAATAGCCTATTTAATCAGTGGCTGTGTCCGAAATCGCCCCCTATACCCTCATTCACTATTCCCTACATTAGGTCACTAATTCAGTTCACTAGAAGGAGTGAATGAAAACGAGTAGTGAACTCGGACACTGAGAAGGAATGCCACTTTTGCATAGTTTGTGCTTGCGGTTTATTAATAATTTGAAACTAGCAAACTAGCAGCTCCAGTAGTAAGATTAAAGGATTTATCTTGAACTCGGTCACGGAAATATATAAACCCTAATCAAACAATTTAATAATCAATTTACAATGAATTTATACCCGTGTTGTACATTATGCTGTACGCCATGGATGAGCGCTTTGTAAAAATGAACGGCTTGATTATTCAGCTGCGGGCGTTATCTTCTGGCGAGATGCGGGAATTCATTCGGCGCGTGACTCTCACGGTGCATTATGGGCATTCTCTAGCCGTTGAGCGTGCACCAGTTGTACACTCGTTTTTGCAGTGCATTGTGGGATTGAATGAGTGCACTCGAGAATGTCCACTATGGTTTCGGACACCACTGAAAATGGCTGTTCCCTCAAATAGTGCCCTATTTAAGGGTATAGGGGGCAATTTCGGACACAGCCCAGGTTTCACAGACAGGGATTAGATAAAACCCAAGATCAGGTTGCAGTTCAATTACGACATTTAACCCGATTTTATGGATGTGCATTTAAAAAAAAAAAGCACATCTTTAGGCAAAACCATGGCACTGACAACAAGATGTCAGTGCAAGTTTCAGTTAATACAGCTCAGACATGCATTTTAGTTTGGATCTAGGCTTAAGCCTTGTCTGTGAAATCAGGGGTAGAAGTTATGTTCAATGGAACAGTTATATCAGCCAACTAACTCAACTACTAGACGTGCAAAATCCTCACATTTTTCCACCCAATTTCTTTACAGATTTGTCAACCCCCAACAAAAGGTAAGACAGTTAGTCTTCACTTAAAAACCCACACAAATACACTTGCTAATGACATTTTATTGATACTTCCAAAACGAACATTATCCACAACCAGAAAACTGCAAACACAAGTAAACAGCTATGACTTCACTTGTTGCAACAACCTGGATCTGCCTTGGGACAAATGCCGGCTACTTTGAGCTGGTCCAGGAGCATTCTGGTTTGTGACGGGCTGATAATTCAGTGCTGGATACTGAAGCCCAGGTTGCACTGACTGAGACACAGACTCATAGCTTGAAATAAAGCGACTACTGGGCTGCACCAGGGCTTGGGAACTTGATCTGGATACAGATTGGTAACCTGACTGCCTAGGCATAGATGTTTGGAAACCAGGCTGCGATACGGTTTCATAACTTGACTGTACCTGGGGCTTGTACCGAGACTGCACCTGGGGCTTGTACCGAGACTGCACTGGAATGGCTGGGGATAAGTAGCCAGACTGAGCTAGTGACTGGCGGCTAGGCAGCATTTGAAGCTGGGAACCGGACTGCCCTGCCATAGAAGACATCAGGTATCCAGACTGGGAGATGGTCTCAGAACTTGACTCTGCCTGGTATCCGGATTGTTTTGGCATGACTGGGGAAGAGTAGCCAGACTGAGCTAGTGACTGGTGGCTAGGCAACATTTGAGGCTGGTAGATAGATGGTTCTAGCTTGCTTGAGGGTTTGTAGCTGGATTGCATAGGCTTAACTAGGGGCTGATACACATCTTGCCTTGGCTTGGCCAGAGGTTGGTAGCCAGGCTGTTGCAATTGCCTCAAAGGTCCAGATTGCGGTCCACTGAGCTGTGATACAGAACCATAACTGGGCAGTCTGTGCTTAGCAAGAGGCAGTCGGCTTGGAAGAACTGGAGGCTGGTAGCTAGGCTGTTCAGGCAGTTGTGCTAGTCTGAAAGTGGAATGGAGTATTGATTGCAGTGGTCCAGGAGGGACATGGCTGCTGGGTGACACCACAGACACATAGGTGTCCTGCCCAGGCTTTACTGGGGCCTGGTAACTAGGCTGTACAACAGGTTTGATGCTCTGAGCTAAGGATGGAGGTGCTGGTCTGGATGGAGGCTGATATTCAGTCCATCCTGGTTGGGCTGCAAGCTGGTAACTGGGCTGCAATACATACTCCTGGCATGAATAAAGTTTGGAGCCAACCTGATAAAGTTGTTCCCCTTGGGCCTGCAGTGGCTTGAAAACGGTTTGTTCACCGTGCTGGACTACAGACTGGTAGCGGGATAGTGCTGTTTGCAGGCTGCTTGGCGGAGTCACAGAGTAGCTGGCTTGTGGTGACTGTTGGCTGCTGACTTGTGCCACTTGTGGCCTAACCGTTTGGGACACAGACTGATAGCTGGTTTGCACTGGTTTTAAGACACTTGGCTGAGCCACAGACTGGGAGCTGGCCTGTGCTGGTCGTTGGCTATTTGACTGAACTACAGAGCTATGACTTGGATTCTGGAGTGGCTTGGTACCAGAAAAGAGCTTGGAACCAAATTGAACCCTACCGTTATGGGGCTTGAAAAGAGTCAGGCTACTGGGCTGTGCCACATACATATAGCTGCCCTGTGCTAGTTGCGGTCCACTGGACTGAACAGATTGGCTGGCCTGAACTAGTTGCTGGCTGGAGGTTTGGGCTACAGACTGGCCACTGCCTTGCACTGGTTGTTGGATGCTGGGCTGGGACACCGACAAGTCAATGGCCTGAGGGAGTTGCTGGCTGCTGAGCTGAGCCACAGACAGGTCAGTGGCCTGTGGGAATTGCTGACTGCTGGCCTGGGCAACAAACTGAGAGCTGGCCTGTTCTAGTTGCTGGCTGCTGAGCCGGGCCACAGACTGAGAGCTGGCCTGTTCTAGTAGTTGGCTGCTGGGCTGAACCACAGGCAGGTCAGTGGCTTGTGCTGGTTGTTGGATACTGGGCTGAGCCACAGATGGGTAACCAGCTTCTGCTGATGCTGGTTGCTGGACCACTGACTGGTAGCTGGCTTGTGCTGGTCGTTGGCTACTTGACTGAACTACAGAGCTATGACTTGGATTCTGGAGTGGCCTGGTACCAGAAAAGAGCTTGGAAACAAATTGAAGCCTACCTTTTTGGGGCTTGAAAAGAGTCAGGCTACTGGGCTGTGCCACAGACATATAGCTGCCCTGTGCTGGTTGCGGTCCACTGGACTGGGCAACAGATTGGCTGGCCTGAACTAGTTGCTGGCTGCTGGGCTGAACCACAGACAGGTCAGTGGCCTGTGGGAATTGCTGACTGCTGGCCTGGGCCACAGATTGGAAGTTGACTTGTGCTTGTTGGCTACTGGGCTGTGCCACAGACACATAGCTGCCCTGTGCTGGTTGCGGTCCACTGGACTGGACAACAGATTGGCTGGCCTGTTCTAGTTGTTGGCTGCTGGGCTGAACCACAGGCAGGTCAGTGGCTTGTGCTGGTTGGACACTGGGATGAGCCACAGGTGGGTAGCTGGCTTGTGCTAGATGGCTACTGGCCTGGGCCACAGACTGAAAGCTGGTTTGTGCCGGTTGTTCACTGCTAGGCTGAATGACCTGTGCTAGTTGCTGGCTGCTTGGTTGAGCTACAGTTTCATAGCTAGTTTGTACTGGTTGCTGGCCACTGGATTGGGCTAATTGCTGGCGGGATGACGGACTCATAAGTGCATAGCTAGCCTGAGCTAGCTGAGGGCTGTTCAACTCACTGCTGTGTTGCACTATTTGGTAGCTAGGCAGTGACATGGATTCATTTTTGGGGGGCAAAGGCTTGAAATAGCCAGAGCTTGCATCCTGAACTGGCCTGGAACCTGAAAAAAGCCTAGAACCAGTTTGCCAAAGTCGATCTCTCTGAGGCTCAAGGGGCCCTCTATTTGACTGCCTTGCAGACTGGGAGCTGGCCGGTGCTAATTGTTGGCCACTGGTCTGGGTTAACTGCAGGGTGCTAGACTGGGCCATGGATCCAGAGCTGGCTTGTCCTGATTGCTGACTGCTGGATTGGGAGATTGTCTGCACTAGCGGTTGACTGCTGGGCTCTGCCACAGAGTCATTGCTGGTCTGCAGAGGAATTTGGTAAATTAGCTGCTCTGGCTTAAGAACAGAATCACTACTTTGCAATGGCATCAAGACCATGGAAGAACGGATAGTGTCAGAGCCTTGAACACTAACTGACCGACTTACACCATACCCTGACATGCCCATACTGGCTGCACTACCCACAAGACTACCACTTCCAACTGAAGCACGTCGAGAGTCCTGAAGCTGGCTTCTAGTGTCTGAACCAGAACTTCCACTTGTCACTAGACCACCTGAAGAGCCAGTCTGAGAATTGTAGCTTCCAGAACCATAGCCTCCCTTAACTGCAGCACTATAAATTATATTCCTAGAACTCCGAGGCCAAAAAAAACAAAAAAAACACACCTTCAACTGGTTGTAGTAAATCTTAGAAAAATTAACCAGCAAACTCATAAACTACACATACCTTAAAAATTGCATCGTAGTCGTATCCATATGAAGTCAAAACTATCATCAACAACACTCAGTACAACAACTACAAAAAATTGAAAAATAAAAACCTTTTACCCAACCATGTAGCTTTATTACTAAACCCTTAACTGTCTTTTTATAGTGCCTGCCTCTACCGCTCACCAATCACAGTTTACTAGATTATTATCTCAGACCAATCAGTTGTCACGGCAACCTCTAATGGCTTATTATTAGTTTCAAGTGTCATAGTATGCCAATTTGGTTGGTGCCATTTTTTTTATATTGTGTTTAAAAAAAAAAATTAATGCATTCATTTAGTAATGCTGATCTCAAATGTTCTTCTTGCAATATTGGAGTGATGATTTGGAATGAAATATGATTTGTGTTGTGCGAATCAACAGATTCTCAAATGAAAAAAAAAAAGTTTCAAGTGGCATAAGAACTAGATATTCTGCACGTCACTTAATTTAAATGTATCTTTATGGTGAACTGCATGCCAGCAATGGATCAGTTTAGCTCTGTTGTGTGTGAAATATATCCATCATGAGGAAATGCATGATAATAGAAAACATCTTGCCACATCATTCCTGTGAGCTTTCCTGTTGTGAAAGTTGTATTCAAAATAAGACCCTCTTCAGCTCATGCTACCGTTTTATTCTGCTGAATGGATGTTTCCAACATGACGTTGTCAATACTGCTGCAGATTGGAGCTATCAATAGCTTTTTCCATTGGTGGGGTGTGTGTCAGCACTGTTTACACTGATGTACTGCTATTTCAGCATGTCTGACTCATTTTGTATTTATTCCCTGTGTAAATATTCTTGCTTTTTACAAGGTTAATAAACCCAAGCAATTTGTTCCGCCACTGATAGAAGCGGAATATAGTATAACTTATTTAAAGCGGTCATGAACTGAGAAATCAAAATTCGCTTGATCTTTTGACATATAAGAGGTCATATAAAAACATCATGTAAGTTTCAGAAATCAAAACTTTCTCATTAGTCTAAAAACAGCTTATATTGAAGTCAATCTGCCAAAAGGACAGCTTGTGGAATGTGCTGCTCTATGACATAATAGAGCGAGTAAACCCTGCCTCTGCAGAAGATCAACGCCTGCTTCTACATCACTGCCTGTTTAGCTCCGCCCACTGATTCACACACATAGTAGTGATGGGAAACCGAGGCTTTCTGAACCGTTTGAGGCTTTCATCAAATTGTGCCGAAAAACTGTTAATTACTCGAAGCTTTTTAACACAGTGCGCATTAGCGACATCTGGTGGTCAGACTCGGTTTCTCCAGCCTATCTAATGAAACATGAGGAGCAGAGGATGGTTTGAATTTTTTTTTTAATCTGTGCCAACTCGTGTCATGCGTAGTCCAGTCAGTGGATTCACATATTGATCAATAATATAAAATATACAGGCTGTGTGTATATATACAGTGTGTGATACAATAGTGCTTTGAAAACTGCGTCGGAGCATCAGAGCCTCGGTATCAATCGTCCCATCACTAATAAGTCACGTAGTGTAAATAACGAAAGACAAACGTAGGTCTACACAGAAACCAAACCAAACGATAAAGATGGCTCCGAAGATAACAAGACGCTGTGCAGTGCCAAATTGTGGACAAACACAGTCTTTGCATAGCCTTCCATCGGGTCCCAACAAGAAAGAGTGGATTAGTTTTATTTCTTAATGATGTTATAGACGCATTAGTAAAAGGTTGGTCTTTTGTTCACTTCATTTCACTGCGGATTCGTTTACAAACAAGACACAATTCGACGCCGGATTTTCAGAAAGACTTAAAATTAAAAGACGATTCTTCGCCGACTATATTAGATGTACTGTGTATTTGCGCTTTTAACTTAAATCACAGCAGCGTCCATCTGTGAAGGATGTAGGCTTTCAAACATACACAACTGTTAGCCAATCATAGCGGTGGGCGTTTACTTCCGAGTCTAATCCTTCACACCTATTCAAACTAGTGATGGGAAGTTCGGATCATTTTACCGACTCGGACCTTTGAGTCTGGTTCAGCAAAATGAACGAATCTTTTTTCGAGTCATTTCGTTAATTTCGTTCATTTTAGCAAAATACAATTAAAATGTTACGTGTTACTTCCCTAACACGTTTACTAACGCAAACGTTGATCACACTACAAACAATACAAAACTGCAATAAGAAACAGAAAAATGCAGTCCGAGCCGGAAAGATAATTGATTAGTTTTTTTTTTTTGTATTGCATTTCATTTATTTTTCTATCAATTTCTTTAATACAGTTTCTGTGTCATGTAAAATACAGATATTAAGATTTGAATAGTGAACCAAATCATGTCATGCAAACATATCATGAATCCGACAGAACATGTCATGTAATTTTTTTTATTTTTTTTATTTTTTATTAACCAGAACAAAATATACAATATTTTA